GTGTGTGTGTGTGTGTGTGTGTGTGTGTGTGTGTGTTGCAGCCCTGAGCTAAGGTGTAGAAGGCAGGCTCTCTAGGCAGAAGATTTCTGAGCAGCTGAACGCTCAAAATGTCACAGTGCAAGTTGTAGAGTATCCACCTACTTCCAAATCTCTTGCCATAGCACGCAGTAACTCATCCCAGCCTGTTTCCATTGTAAACTGAATAAGAAAGCCGCCGTAAGCTTCCCATACCTCTTCCACTGGAATCCCTGAAAGGCTGGTAACACGTAAATGCGCCTACGTGACACTAGCTTACAAAAAAGTTACCAATTATGTTCGCCATAGCGTTCACAAGTCTCATCGTTTCAATGTCATTGTAGTAGTGGGCAATTTCGCTTTCAGTTCCTTCCTCAAACTTTGCCATTTCGCTGAAAACTTGACTTCACTATCTATCAGTAAAAAAGTGGGGACCTCCTCCAGATCCGCATTGAGTCAGTTAAGCTCATCATAGGCAGAAAGTCAATTGATGTTAAAATGTACCTGATAAGGAAAGGACGGCCGTCACGGCTATCCCGGATGAGATGTATTCATCAGCCACTCTAATTGCTCAAAAAAATCCCCGTTTTTTTGTTTTTTTCTGCTATGACTCGGTTTCTGTTTTCTTTTCTCATGCAGAAGTTTCCTCGTTATCGTTAGGGACACCTTGTCAATACATAAGATGATTTAACGACAAGCTGAAATAAAGTCCAGATCGGAACTTTGCATTCCATCGAAGTATTTGAGGGCATTCGTTAGCAAGCGAGTCTTGTTGAAATATAAGGATAATCATTGAAAAGTAAAACATTCAGTGAACAAACAAGTTGCTGTTTAGCGCCAGAAATTTGTTTTCCACACATGCAGATAGTTGTGAGTTCCATAATATGGTCGCCACTACGGTTACGTTTTCCTGCATTTTTGAAAAGGATTCGCAGTACACTGGCTAGCGCCAGGACTTTTTCAAAAGGTAACATGCAGGGCACCCTCCAAATGGTAACATGCAGAGCGCCCAGTGCTGTCCAACAAATTGGTGTTGAACAGTGTCAGACTGCTTGTCTTCATCGGCCCTCAACTTTGAGTCTTCACTTGAGAGCGAAATCAGGGCACATCATTGGTTGGGAATTTTCATCGAGTTCGTACGCCGCTCCCCCTCCCCCACCTATAAGGTTGATCGATACGACCCCCACCCTTCTAAGGTTAGTTGTTTTTCGCCTTTTTAGTTGCATTTTGTTCCAACACTTACGTGAGAGAGAACCACTGCCAAGCTGGAAATTCCCTTTGGCTACTGAGCACCTTCCAGCACTGAACGTCACCCAGGCCAAAGAATTTCTGTACGAGTGAAACTCCAAACATTCCGTAGGTTCACAAGACAGGATCCCAGCAAAATTGCTCCCTCTATTTACAGGAATTTAGTTTAGATGAACTCCGGTGTTCTAATACATGTGTTACTTCAGCTAACATGGAAAGCCATAAGGCCCGACTTGAAACAGGTGGAAATTACAAAATTTATAACGATTATTCACTATTTTCTACCACTTCCGTGTTAACTGAGCGAGTTAGGAATCCTCAGTCCTTTTCGGAAATAGTAGAGATAATGGCTGTGTGGATCTACACCTTTCAGGATGCTATGCTCTAACCTACAGGCTGTTGCGTTCAAAGTTGGGAGCGCGGGAGGAAGTGGCAGCCATGCCATTTGAATACCGAATACGCACAAGTCCGTGATTGCGTTGGGGCGTGTTTTCCGAGACCCCCTTGCGTAAAGGAACTTGCCTTTGAAGGGTTATAACTTTTTGAAGGCAGACCGTTGGGAAAGAGGAGAATAGTGAAGAAAAAATTTGAGCTTCACGGAAAAGACTGAAATGTTAATGAAGGTTGCCAAATTCTTAGACAAATTTAGCGTTCTGGAAAATTGGATGCAAACTGTCCTAGTTGGAACAAAGATGATTTATTAAAAACTTGACGTTTGCAAGTCCAAAACCAGTGTCAAATATTGGAAGATTTCCTCTTTCCAAAAATCACTTATATTGTTTCTGAAGCCGAGGGACTCATGAGATAATCGCGTTGGGATTTTCTGAAGAGCACTCCGAACTGTTCGAAAACCCGTTTTCTGTGTACCGTTTCAAGTGGGCGTATTCGGATATCCAGGAATGCATCTAGAATGCATCCCTTCGTGGAATAGGAACAAACAGTAGTTGGTTTAGCGCCCATTAGCTTCATTTCTGGATGCGCCATGCTTAGGCTCCCACGCAGAGGTCCGCGTGGGATGGTGCAAGTTCTACGCAATGCTTCTACGCGAGCAGATGTGTTTATAGGATTCAGAGAGGTCCATGGCCAACCTACGCACTTGTTTACAGTCTTGTCCGTTGCGGATGATGGGGGCGTGTCTTCCCATCATCCGCAACGGAGAACGGCAACCGCGCACCGCCAGCGGCTGCTGAGTCCGATAAAGGAGACCAACTGCTGGAAAACGTCTGATACGAACGATATGGTAGTCCTGTCGTTTGTCGAAAAAAACAGGTTGGCTCAGCGCCAAGCGCGATCGCGCGGACACGCCCCATCATCCGCAGCGAACCAGGGTATAAGTTGTACTGTTTAGTCATCTACGTACTTACGAAATGATGTCAACTTATTAATATTTCCAGTTAATTTTGGATTAGTTTAATTGATGAACGCCTTGAACTTTTTTTACACATCCGGGTTCTCTACAAAGCATGTTTCGCTATACAGGATACTGACACCCTTGCGCTGCCTGACTTCCCCACTCATCACAACCCCCCCCCCTCTTCCAGCGCCAAGTACGATCTCCCCTTCCTGTGGCACTCCTTTACCAGTGGCTCGGTCTCCAGACTCCGCCTTCAAAGCCCATCATCCAATGAAAACGAAGCTGCAGGACGAAAAAGCATGAAAATCGTAAGCTCACTTGTAAGGTCGTAGAGTTCTTATAGTGAATAAGCTGTGTGGATGAGGGCGTAGTGTAGGAGATGGAGCTCACTGGGCACGTACAAAGTGGCTTGAAATGGGGTTCTATCTAATTGTAAGGCGGGTGACGAGTTTTTTCTGCCTTTTTTCATTACCGAGTTACACAGCTCTTGTCTATGCGAACCCCTAATGCACTATCTGTGATTGCGATTTATCGCAGGTTGTGCCTTTAAGCGAGCACAGTGTGATATCCCAATACAAAATGGTTAGAGCAAAAAAGTTCTTCACAGTGTGAGCTGCGAATAAAAAGAATTTCGCTGCAACCATTATTCTCACAGATTCCCTCCAGATGATATGTAATGCAATATTGGAGAGAACTCTCGAACTCGTCTGGATGAGTGTCAAGGTAACCTGCTGAATACCAGGATTAAGAAAGAAATTGTTCAAATCTAGATGCTCTGAAGGGATTCATCGTTATCTTCAGATGCCCAGAAAGGATCCGTATGTTCGTCCTCCACGAAGCTATCTCCCTCGCAGTCGATTATACGGTTGTAGTACAGTGCGCACAATAGGATAGAAACTCTCTGCAATCTTCTTTTCTTTGCGGGATAGTGATCAAACAATATCGCAAGACCCGAATTCTTTCACTAGGTGTGATAGCACCAGAGTCCGGCAGAACATTTCCAACTATGGTGGACAGGTCGCAAAGATGTTGGCTGATATGTGGGCGTGAGTGAAGAGAGCTACCAGAGATGACGAATTCTTTCGTTGGCCACACACGTTGTCATCCTATAGGATGATGAAATCTCGCAGTTCACGAGCTCCAAGCAGATATGCATGTGTATTTGGTCCCTTGCTTGAGCTAGTTAGGCAAAAGTGTAAGTTTCCACGAAAATCGTTCGCGGGGCTCAATAAGTAGCAGGGAGGGGTCTTGGTGGTCGGACAGGTACGCAAAACTACTTCCCAAGTGTTTAGCATGCGTTTCAAGAAAAAGCAAAACTACGAAATGCATCAAGGATTTGAACCTCCGTCTCACTACTATGAAGCCATCCACTTACCTGCTGCGCCATCGAGCCACGGCGGCAGCTGGGTCACGAGGGGTTTACGAGCGCAAAGCATGGGCAGGGGGTCGCACCGCAATGGTTAAGCACGGTAGCAAAAAAGGTCCGTAACTCTCCACCCAGAATCGTTTAGCAGATTTGGAAGTCAGATCTGATATCAGCGTCCGGAGACGCTTCTAGGAGTATACATCTCATTCTGAATGGCCAGGACGAGTTGGTATCCTTCCCTTGTTAGATCTCTCGCCTATTTGGTCCTGTCAAAAAATTGGCGCGTTTCAGTTCTTCCCGCTAGAGAAATGGGTGACGCAAATATTAGGTTGTTCGGAAAGAAATGCGCGTTGAAGCGCGTTGAATTTGTCCATTTATTTCTCTCCTACTATAGAAGATTTTTCAAAACAGTTTTGTCTATTAGAAAGAGATTTTTATTGTGCATCTTTTGATATATTTTTGTCTATGTCTACTTTGCTTTTTTTGGGGAAAAAAAAAGTTGGGAAGAGTGGGTGCCGCACCAGCTGAGCGACGCAAACAAGGCAACACGAGTGGCAATGGCCGGAATTCTTCTTCGTCGCTCCAAGAACAGCGGTTTCTTCGACTCTATTGTTACATCAGATGAGACATGGATCTGCTACGACAACGCAACGCGAAAAAGACAGTGGTTAGACGCCGGTGACACTCCAAAACCGACTCCGAAACCGGATATACACGGCAAAAAGGTGATGCTCTGTGTTTGGTGGAACAGCAAAGGTTTGGTGTACTTTGAAGTACTGGATTCGGGTCAAACAGTTACGGCGGACATCTACAAAGATCAATTGAACCGCGTGGATCAAGCACTGCGTCGTCAAGGTGTCGAAACGACGTCGACAAAATTCCTCCACGACAACGCTCGTCCACATGTCGCGAAAATCACTTTGGAAAAAATTGAGGAATTGGGCTGGGAAGTCCTGCCTCATCCGCCATACAGCCCAGACCTGGCACCATCCGATTACCATCTGTTCCGGTCGATGCAGCACTCCCTGGCCGAGAGAAAGTTCACAAACCGCGAAGAAGTCCAACTCTGGGTGTCCAACTACTTTGAGTCGCAGCCGGCCGAGTTCTTCGAAAGAGGAATCCATTCTTTGCATAAACGTTGGCAACAAGTCATTGATAGTAATGGAGATTATCTTTTGAATTGATCTTGTTTAATTTCGTTTTTATAATAAAAATTTTTTTAGACTCAAACGCGCATTTCTTTCCGAACAACCTAATGGCTCGACAATACGTTCCACCTTGACATGTACACAAAAGCATGTTAATAAGTAAACATATAATGTCAAAAACGACTTGGTCAGGTACTTCACTCTGAGAACGCCCGCTATGCGTATGATTTCTAGTGACGCGAAGACTCTTTGAAAGATACTGCATTTCTGTG